CACACACACACACACACACTCTCTCTCTCTCTCTCTCTCTCTCTCTCACACACACGCACACACACACACACACACACTCTCTCTCTCTCTCTCACACACACACACACACATACACACACAGACACTCTCAGCAAATAAACTCAGTACACACACCTGTGTCACTCAGTAAAATTTATTATAGAATTGAATCACATTTTCACCAGCATTCTAATAATCCCACGTTTATACAAATCGCAACAGATCTTCGTACAATATACTTACCAAAGAGAGAAAAGCTGCACCAACAATTTCTATCTGATTTGAAAAAAGAGCGTCGTTTGTCATTAAAATGATTGTCACCGTGAAGTATAAGACTAAAAAACAGCGAGTAGGATGGGCTTCGACAGACTGAGAGCAGTGCAGTGCAGATCCTCCGTGATCTGGAGGTCACACAGAGGTCAAAGGTTAGACGGACCGACCGAGGCATCTGCGGCTTTAGAAGTTCATGCTGTGGAGCGGTGTTAATACATGCCTGGTCTGTGACCTCACGAATGACGTGTGTTTGTGAAAGCGACGGTCCTGACCTGAACAGCAGTCTCTGTCCCGGCTCCTTCTTGATGATGTTGAGTTTGTAGTAGTGTCTCAGCGCCCGCGACATCTTCTCATACGTCATGTTGGTCCTGTTCTGTGTGAGCAACACATCACAACACTAATGTGACTCATTTCAGCTCAGGAAACATTACAGCTGTGTACAGAGCAGAGTTATTATCCTTAACTAAAACTATTCAAAAAAAATAAAAAATTTACTGGAAAAAAAAAAAAAGCTAGTCGCCACGGCAACATCTCATTTTCATTTAGTTTAACAAAGTACTAAAACAACTAAAACTTAAACTTAACATCAACTATTTAGACATTAAAAAAAGATAAGAACTATATGCACATAAAAAAAAATACAACTGACAAAAACATTACAAAAAATGACTTAAAGTTCAACTAAAATTGAAATGAAAACTAATTCAAAATATTAACAAAAGCTATAATAGCACATAAATGATACCAAAATTAAAACGATATAGATGTAATTTCTATTCACTATAGTAATTCCCATGGCTATTCCACAATTTAAGATTTTATTAATATCCATGATTTTTTTTAAATGACCAATTCCTTATTATTTATTTTCTATTACATTTTTTAACATGTTATTAAATTTTAATGCTTGATTAAATTTTTAATACTTAATTTCAAAATTTGCGATATGAAAGTTTACTTAAATTTTATTTTTATTTATTCTAAAGATTTTATTGGTAATTTTTAATATTACATTTTTAACGTTTAATTTAATTGTAAATTATTTTTTATATTTAATTTGTAATTTCAAATTTGTAATATTAAACTTTATTTTAATTATTCTATTTTAACTCAATCAAATGTTATTTTATTACATTTTTTATTTTATAGTTAATATATTATTTTAATATTTGATTATTTAAATTTGTAATAAACTTCAATTATAATTTATTTTACTTTTTTACATTTTAATTTACACTAATGATTGAATTTAAATTTTTTATTTAATTTAATTTATTTAATTTATTATTTATTTTAAATTTGTAATAATACACTTTATTTTATATCATTCTAATGTTATTTAATTTAATTTTTAATATTTAATTTAATAGTTAATATATTGTTTTTAATATTTAATTGTTTATTTAAATGTATAATTAAACTTTATTTTAATTTATTTTAAATATATTTTATATTTAATTTAATTCATAATTTTTTTATTCAGAAGTAAATCCGGCAGGTTTTTTTGGGCGTCTGGTACCTTATGGTTCCCCCACAGGCGGGCCAGGCCGTTGGGATCCATGATGCGGAAGACTTTGGTATCGCGGTCCTCCCAGCGGATGTAGTTTTCGTAGCGACTGTCCGACAGCAGCTGATAGACGTAGTCCCACAGGAGCCTGCAGTCTGACACACGACACCACAATCACAATCACACACCAGCCATCACTGACCAATCAACAGAGAGGGGGCGGGGTCTCACCTGCGATGCGGCCCAGGGGTGTGGCCTGCTCCTCGGGCATGATGATGTGGTTGCGGTAGTGGCGCTCGTCCTGCAGGGGGAGCTGATGGGCCGCGAGGTTTAAGCTGTGTGAGGCGTAGTGAACGGCATTGTGCTGTTGACCTTTGCCCTCGCGGCCGTTTTCCTGAGGCGTGCCGCGGCCGTGCCTGAAATCCCCCGGTGTGTGCCCGCGGCCCGGACTCAGCAGCGGGTGCATGATGGCGCTGGGCATGAGCTGGATGACGCGTGGCGGAGCCGCCTCCTCCTGACACGGGCTGGCGGGCCGCGGGGGGTCGCGGGGAAGCATGCAGTGGCCGTTAGCCGCGCCTGGAGACACAGACAGCGGGTACACGTCCTCCAGCAGATGGTGGTTGCTGTCGGGTAGCTGTGAGGACGCCTGCTGGAGGTCCTCGGCCGAGCGCAGTGCCGTGGGCAGGTGATGAGGCGACCGTGAGCGATGGCGCAGCTCGATGGTGGGCGGCTGCAGGGAATGAGTGTCTGTGGCGCGCGACGGCCGGCGTACCGTTTCTGACAGACGCAGAGAGAGAATTAACATCACATTTAATATGAAAAACTGACTGTTCAGGGATATTACTGCCAAACTAAAACCATAAAAACATTTTAGTTACTTGAAATAAAATAAACATTAAAGGTTGGGTAGGTGATTTCGGAGAGGCTGGGAATAGCAAGCTAGCTTTGACAGCATAAGATCCCACCCTCCCTGCAAATCAGTCTCCAAAGCCACGCCTCCTCCTGAACACATGACCGCGCTCAAACAGAGCAGAGGCTAACCAGCGATAACGCTGTCAGATGACCTCACAGCTCACTCACCGGTGAGAAAACATTACAGTACAGAGCGCATGATATTACAATAATAACTAGGGCTGGGAAAAAATATTGATATCTCGATATTAATCGATTCTCCTTTTTATGGAGTGATATCGATTCTTAAATCCCTGAATCGAATCGCAAGCTTGTGAATGAGAAATTTGTGTCAAAACCCAGCCCTAATAATAACGCCTCATTTTTATAATTTTAGGTATGCAAATACATACGCTGAAAGGCGGGCAGAACAACCAATCGTAGCCCTCGGACCGAGGAATATGATTGGTCGAACATTTAATGTTCCTACGCCTTCCACAGACTATAGAAATACATTTAGAGCACGTAACTCAGTGACTGCTATCGGGATGTGAAGAGACTTGTAACCAGCGTAATAAAAAAATGGTTTTAAACCAAATCACCCACCCTGCCTTAACTGAAATAAAACCATGTAAACTAATTATCTTTCAGCTAGACGCCAAGGCAACATTTCTCATTTGCATTTAGTTTTACTTCATGTGCTAAAATAAGCTAAAACTGAAATAAAAATGACTAAAAACTATATACATTTTTTTTTTAAACTGACAAAAACAGACAGCAAAATTAC